AATAAGCCTAGACTACGTATGTGGGATGTCACCATGGTTGTTTAATAATTATAGATGGAGGTTTGTAAAGAGAAGTAAATGCGAGGTTCTTGCAGAGTCATGGAAGCAAAAAGATAAAGAATCACACATAAAGTGGGAGTATGTCAACAGTGCTCTTTGCTGAAGACACAGTGCATCATTGTAGATTCTAAAGAGAAGTTGAAAAGATTGGTGGATGAATTTGGTATTTGTGCAAAAGAAGAAAATAAAAGGGAATAAGGAAAGAGTAAGGTTATGAGGAAAACAAAAAGTTTGGGGATAAAAATTTGGGATACAGATTGGGGGGAAGAGTAAGGAGAAGGTGAATGTTTCAGATTTTGGGGGAGGGGACGTGTCAGCGGATGGGTCAATGAAAGAGGGGTAAAAATTAAAAATTGATGAGGGAATGGGGTGATGTCACTTAGGATCGTGGAGACAAAAACTTTGCCCTTTGGGGAGGCAAAAGGGGAATGTAGGGAAGTAAAGTTTTAAAACCGACGCTGTTAATGGGTGTGAAGCAGGGGGTGATAAATGTTGCAGCGGGAGAAGGCTGGGGGCAGTGGAGATTCATGTCTAAAGGCAATGTGTGGTGTAATAAAAAATGCAAAAATTCTATTTGGAAGTTAGGAAAAGTGCGGGTTTACCAAAACTGTTGTCCAGGGGGGTGAGGGGGGTTTTAGGTGGGTTCGGACATGTGAGAGAAGGAGCGAAACAGAGTGACTTAAAGAGTTTAAATCTGAGGGGAAAGGGAAAGGGGCGGGGGGGGTTGACCTGGGGAAAGGTTGGGGGAGGGGTAAAGGGGGTTTTTTGTGGGGGGGGGGGCAGTGTGGGGAGGGGCGGCATAATGCCTGGTAGCACTGTATTTGCTTTACTTGTTTCAAAGGTAGGGATAAACGGGAATTTCCAAGGCATTTTTGAGTGGGATTAAAAACCCCATCGACGGGGCCCTCTCAGAAATCGTTCTGGGGCGCCCAATTTTCAAAAAAAAAAAATTATTTTTTCTTATGAAAAATAAGTTTTTTTTTCTAAAAATTTTTGGCTAAAAAAAAAAAATTTTCCATCATACTTACCGAATATGGAGGCTAAGTTTCCCAAAATTGAAGAACATTTTTAACATCGCCGACTGCCGTGCCCGTTATTTTTTATTTACTTTTTAGTACTATTTTCAATTTTTTTAAAATTTTTTTTTCTGAGTAACTTTTATGGCCTCTGAGGCCAACTTCTTATTTGTAAGTTATTTTTTTTTTTCAATACTACACAAAAGGGGCATAAACACTTTTTGCATTTTTGTTTACAAAAAATATTTACTCAAAAAAAACGATATAAATGTTGTTTATTACTATTTTTTATATTTTATATACACATAACATCACGGGGAATGTTTTAAATTTCACCCTGTGGAACTCTTTAAAACATGGTGTCATCACAGTGGTGTTTTACCCCCTCACATAAAACGATGCCTGCGTTTGTGGGCATTTTTTGAATGCACGACGTAACACCTCTTCGACCCTTTTTCTTGAAAGCAGTAGCGGGCATTTTTTTACCGGGAAAGTGACACCATGCTCAGACGAGCAGGTATTTTGTTGATAATTTGGGGGGCGGTCAATTGCGGGTGTTTTCCCTTTGGTACTTAATACTATTTTTTTGTGACGACAAAAAAATTTGCCATACGGGTTTGTTTCGGGTCCTCTCTTATACATATTTAAGCTTTGAGATGGAAATGCCCAGAAGTTTGGAAAAACAGTTTGATGAACTTAACTCTTGCAACACAATCACAAACCCAATCTGCATGTCCATTGCCACTAAAACCAGTTGAAGGGTGTAATCAATCCCAGCTGCAGGTTTTAAATGGTTTTCATTGCTTCTCATCTGCCTGCCATGTTCCATTTCATTGGGGTGAACTGATAAAACGTGGACATCTCGTTTGTCATGCCACCGAAATGCCATGATGCTTTGCCACAAACGCCTGCCCCCTCCCCTCTATGGTGCCACGCAAAAACCGGGCAATGTTTCCGATTTGCACGCACTGTGCCCCACACATCTGTCGTTCCTCCAAAAAATCACTGATGAGGGGCTTGTTTTCCAGTTTTCTGTATATAAATTCCCCCTTTCCCAAGGGATGGTTCTATCACTGTTTAACCAATACCGAGATGCCCAAAACTTCCCCGGGATTTTTTTCAATGTTTTAAATTCCCGTGTACACAAAAATATCCAAAACCAGACCTCTGTAACAAACACAAAGCACAAACAACTTTAACCAAAGGTTTCCCTTTTTGCTTGTATTACTGCTTGAAAGGAGTCTTCCTTTTAACAGAACAAAGACTGTCAAATTTCAAAACTTCCCGAAGGGATAAAAATGCTACTGAATTTTTTCTTTCGATACCAAACAAACCTAATCTTATATAACCCCTTTATTTTTGTCAGGCCCGGTTTTTTCGAGAAGTAAGCATACGTAACATTAGCACAAATGATTCACTGGCATATATCACTGAAACCTGGGGTTGCAATAGGGGTCGTTGACCAGTTGATTTCACTTTGTCTTTTACACAGTGGCATAAGCTTAAATTTTGGCAAAAAAAGATACACTCACCACGTTGCCTCCTTTCCCCTGGGTAGACGTGATTTTGGTGAAAGTAATGTGTTGCCCCTTGTTACTCGAGTAATTGTTGCTTTCCAGACAATACTTTCAAGGGGGTTTGTCAAAAATAAACCCCAAAAATTTCCAGTAAGTGGATTGTTTCCCCAAGTTACAAGATGGCCCTATTCCACTTTGGGTTCACAAACTGGTGGGGATTTGGAACAAAATTGACAGCTTCCCCAATCCCCGGGGGTCTGCTGGTGGGGGACTGGGCAAAGCAGGGGTGGTTTTTTGGTTGTAGTTTTGGTTGTGGAGGTTGGGGTTTTGGGGCTGGGGGGTGTGTGGGGGGGGGATGGGGGCCTTTGTTGTAGATCAGCTGAGGCGCAGGTGGGTGGCAGCATGGCCCCCTGCTGGTGCCTCACCAACACCACTTTACCACCCCGCACATTTTCCATCCCCAAATTTCAAAAAGTATCATCGTCATTTTTTTACTTCGTTCCCGTTTACAGCCACGGAGTACTCCGGTGCACTCCTTCCCCTTTGGGAATACAATGGCACACTACCAAGTGCATATTTTCTCGTATATATGACGCTTCAGGGGGAAGCCTTCCTATCACTAGGGGAACTAGTTAAAGAGCTTGTTTTTCATTTTCCTACACGTCATAAACCAATGCTTATGGGGTTGGGATTTGGGAAAATAGAAGTTTCCTTTATCGGGTACAACTGAACGTAAACAAGACGCCCCCACACCAAAAGGTGGAAGGCGGGGGTCTCTGGTTTTCCCACTATTACCGTATTATGACTTTATTTCAGTCAAAAACCCCCAAAACCTTGAACTCATCTTCCCGGAAAACTTTCCATCGTATTAAACGCACGGGAACAAAATTGTCCCAATTCGCCGGGGATGAAAATTCTTACCACGGGCGGGGTGGAATTTTTTACAAAGATGGCATTCCCACAACACCCTTAATTTTTTTTTTTTTAAAAAAGAAATTTTTTATTATAATTTTTTTTTGGGTTTGGGGAAAAAATTTTTTTTTTAAATTTTTTTTTTAATTTTTTAAAAATTAAACCCTAAAATTAATTTTTTTTTTAAAATTTTAAAAGGGGAATTTTTTATTTTATAAATTTTTTAATTTTTTTTTTTATTTTATTTATATATTTTTTTAAGAATTTTAAATAAAATTTATTTAAAAAATTTAAAAATTTTAATTTTATTTAAAAGGTTTTTTTTTTCTTTAAAATTTTATTTTAAAATTCAAAATTTTTTTTTATAAATAAATTTTTTTTTTAATTAAATATAATTTTAAATTTTTAATAAAAATTTTTTTTTTTTTCTTTTTTTAAAAAATTTGTTTTTTTTTAAATTTTTTTTTTTAAATTTTAAAATTTTTTTTTATAATTAATTTTTTTTGTTAAATTTTTATTTTAAATTAAATGTTTAAAAGGGGGAAAAATAAAAAAAATTAAAATTTTAAAAGTAATTAATTTTTTTTTTTTTTAAAAAATTTTTTAAATTTTTTTATTTTTTTTTTTATTTTTATTTTTTTTAAATTTAAATAAAAAATTTTTTTTAAAAAAAATTTTTTTTTTTTATTAAAATAAAAATTTAAATTTAAAATTTTTTTTTTTAATTTGGGGTAATTTTTAACCCAAAAAATATTTATAAAAAATTATTTCCCCCAAAAAAAAATTTATTTATTTTATTATATTTTTTTTTATTTATTTATTATTAATAATTAATTTTAATTTAATTTTTATTCCCCCCCCTTTTAAATTAAAAATAGAGGGACTGGGAATTGCTTCTAGTATGTTATAGATTGGCCCTTTCTAGGAGTTTTCTGTTTCTATGACGTTTGTCATTGTCATAGTATTCGTGGCTTTTAAGAACTTTTGAAAGCTAGTCCAAACAGTCATTATTCCTACACATGAGCAATTGGGAATAATCCCACCACGTCTCAACTTCTTACTCCTCTCAGGAAGGAGTTAGGGCTCTCTGATTGGGCAAGTTTCCCTATTTGCTAGAGGCAATGTCAACAATTTTAATTACCCTAAATGGGGCCCAAATGTGGGCTTTGTACAAATTAAAGCTATATATGATGATTTTCTCAACCTCACACCCATTCTTTATTTCTTTTCTTTTGCTAATAAACTTCTGTGGTAACTTTTAATTCTTAATACTGTGCTGTAATATTAATACAGACTGTACAATTTAGTAATAGTATTAATTTGTTGTATATTTTGTTCAGTCCACATTTAAATTGCTGTCTCTAAGTAGGTACACAATTAAATTGAAATTCACCAATTTTAGTGAATACATTAAAACATACACCTGTGTTAGTTGTTAATAGTGTTGGACATTTGTTTGTATTTGTTTTTATCATATTTGTATATTTTACAGTTTAAATGGCAAAAGAGTTCATAGAGCCTCCTCAGGAAGAGGAATGTGTCCAGTGGTCATCTCAGCAAGATGGAAATGATACGCGTGAAAATACCCAGGTTTCACAGCCAGAGGCTAAGGCTCAGGCGAAGCCTAATGTTAGCACACCTGAAGAGAAAGACATCGATATAGTATATGAGGAGACATTATCTACTCCCAGTAGCCAAGAGAATATTCCTCCTCACTTCCCATCCTCATCCCTGCCACTATCTCCTGTTCTTGTATCTCCATCTTCATTACCTCCACTACCATCCCCACTATCCTCACAGTATTCCTCACACCCCTCTCTCCCATCCTCCTCATCTCCCTTGCTGTCTCCTCCAGCCCATCCACATCAGAGGAGTACTAACATCTCGGTTGAGGAATTTAATGAGCGTGCAATGCAAGACAGTGAAAACAATAATGTGGATGAAAACAGTAATGATCAGCAATATGACCTGTATGCAGATTACCACCAAGAATTCAGCCATCACCAGTTTGTGCCAGATCAGTCTGTCAGACCCCGTGATAGAAGACCACAGAGTGAAAGGGATCAACCTGATTGTACCAATATGAACAATGAAGACAGTTATAGACGGAGAAGAAGTCGCTTTTCTCATCGAAGGAACTTGTCAGAAGACCAGACTTATTCTGGTGCTTCTTATGCATTTGAAGATAATCATAGTTATTTGCCGCCATTACCAAATCTCACCACCCGTCCAGGTGAGCAATTTTTTTTTTTTTTTTTTTTTTTTAATTTCTTGCTGTTTTGCAGTAATACATACTGTAGTTGTTCTCAAACTGATAATTAATTTTATAGGATTGTTTTTGTATACAGTATTTGTAATTACATTATCTTCCTCTCTTTATTTTTGTGCATTCATTTCTATTTTATTTATAATTCTGATATATCTTGGGATTGGCCCATTTCCTATAGTGGTTCTAAGGCCTTTATTTTTTTATAGCTCTCCAGTACTTTCCATTAAGTCTTTCTTCAATATTTCTTCTTTTACCCATTTTTTGTAATATTATCTCCCATTTAGTTTCTCTAAAATACTGCATTAAAGCACAGTATTTTCCTTTCTTATGATATAGTCATTTCTGTTTGTATGTTTTGTTTTCCATATTTAACCCTTAGACTGTTGACACTCCTCAAAATAAAGGCTTCTTCTGTGATTGCATTTTTTTAATTATTTTCTAAAACGGAAGAGAATCTTTTTCTTAAGGTATTGGTATGGAGAATGTAAAATTTGATGCATTGTACTGACAAAATAACACAGGCAAGAAGTAGGATACTGGGAGTACAGTAGACAACAGAGCTACTTCACTCAATTTAGGCCTGTTTTAGGCCAATTCCAGTTCTGAAACCAACTCAGTTCCCAGCTATTTCATTAGTATGTCTTCTGTACTATCCATTGATTGCAAGAAAAGACCCATTCAGCCACGAGAACTACCTGTTAAGTGCCCAAAAGTCTGTAATTTAGCCAGTTTTACATTATTTTATAAAAATCTACTGTAATTCTAAAAGAGCTCAAAACAAACACAGTAGGCATTCCAGCCACAAAAGCAATCTTCCTTCTGTTTATTAATCAAGTCCACAGGCTTCTCCTATATAACATTTACCCTCCATTTTGAATCCATCATCACACAAATTATTTTTTTTCTATTTCTCAGCTATTATATAAACCATAACCAAGAATGCCTGGTCATGGTTTAGGTTGTCCCCATAAAACAGACTGAGAGAAGTATGGGAAGGCCCTACCCTTCCCCAGGAAAATTGCCCATTTTCACCACTTTGAGGTCTATTTTAGGTCACTTCGTATTTGAAACCTCAAATAATCTCCACAAAAAAACTCACTGTAGAGTTTAAATTTTTCTGCCAAAGCCGCTAGTTTATTATGCACACCATATCCATCCTGTGGACAGTAGTGCAAGAGCATATGGATACACACAAGGCCTAGGAACTAGGTCCCAAAAAGATTAACAAGAGTACCTCTAGATTTTTATCTACAATTGTCTCATTGGTTGCAAGAAAATTTAGGATATTTACTTAATATTTCTAGTATCTTGTTTTCATTAATAAGATCTTTCAACAAACCAGTCGTATCTCACTGAGGCAGGGTGGCCCAAAAGGAAAAGCAAAAGTTTCTCTTTTTAACTTTAGTAATCTCCTCTTATGACACACATGGCTTACGGAGGAAGAATTCTGTTCCACTTCCCCATGGAGATAAGAGGAAATAAACAAGAAGAACTAGTAAGAAAATAGAAGAACCCAGAGGGGTGTGTATATATATGCTTGTACATGTATGTGTAGTGTGACCTAAGTGTAAGTAGAAGTAGCAAGACGTATCTAAAATCTTGCGTGTTTCTTCTTCTTTCAACAAACCGGCCATATCCCACCAAAACAGGGTGGCCCAAAAAGAATAACAAGAATTTCTCTTTAACTTTAGTAATGTATACAGGAGAAGGGGTTACTAGCCCCTTTCTCCTGGCATTTTAGTCACCTCTTATGACACACTTGGCTTAAGGAGGAAAAATTCTGTTCCTCTTCCCCATGGAGATAAGAAATAAACAAGAACAAGAACTAGTAAGAAAATAGAAGAAAACCCAGAGGGGTGTGTATATAGATGCTTGTACATGCATGTGTAGTGTAACGTAAGTGTAAGTAAAAGTAGCAAGACATACCTGAAATCTTGTTTGTGCTTTCTTCTTTCAACAAACTGGCCGTATCCCACCGAGGCAGGGTGGCCCAAAAAGAAAAACGAGTTTCTCTCTTTAAATTTAGTAATTTATGCAGGAAAAGGGGTTACTAGCCCCTTGCTCCCAGCATTTTAGTTGCCTCGTACAACACGCATGGCTTACGGAGGAAGAATTCTGTTCCACTTCCCCATGGAGAGAAGAGGAAATAAACAAGAACTAGAAAGAAAATAGAAGAAAACCCACAGGGGTGTGTATATATATATATACTTGTTCATGTATGTGTAGTGTGACCTAAGTGTAAGTAGAAGTAGCAAGATGTACCTGAAATTTGCATGTTTATGAGACAGAGAAAAGACACCAGCAATCCTACCATCATGTAAAACAAGTACAGGCTTCCATTTTCCATTCACTTGGCAGGACAGTAATACTTCCTTGGGTGGTTGCTGTCTACCAACTTACTACCTAGGATTAATAAGATACCTTGACATATTACATAGGTTATTATACTGTCTACCTTTGTATTCCTCAATAAATGGACAATGAAGTACATAGTGTTCAAGAAAGTGATTATAAGGGTGACCATATACTTTGTATTTAGTTTGATCATGTCTGCCACACTGCCAAAAGTACTTGTAATGTAGCCTAAGCCTGGCTACTACAACATCAGTTTGTTCACATTGCAAGTTGCTCCTTTTTTTTTTTTTTCTCCTCAACAAACCGACCGTATCCCACCAAGGCAGGGTGGCCCAAAAAGGAAAACGAAAGTTTCTCTTTTTAAATTTAGTAATTTATACAGGAGAAGGGGTTACTAGGCCCTTGCTCCCAGCATTTTAGTCGCCTCTTACAACACGCATGGCATTACAGAGAAAGAATTCTGTTCCACTTCCCCATGGAGATAAGAGGAAATAAACAAGAACAAGAACTAGAAAGAAAATAGAAGAAAACCCAGAGGGGTGTGTATATATATGCTTGTATATGTATGTGTAGTGTGACCTAAGTGTAAGTAGAAGTAGCAGGGCATACCTGAAATCTTGCATGTTTATGAGACAGAAAAAAGACACCAGCAATCGTGTAAAACAATTACAGGTTTCTGTTTTACACTCACTTGGCAGGACAGTAGTACCTCCCTGGGTGGTTGCTGTCTACCAGCCTGTTACTTATCAATTGCTCCTAAACATGTCTAAAACTGTGTTCATGTTATCATGGGGAGAGATCTACTTAAGCTTCTAACTGCATTCCTATGACATTCACTTTCATTATTTATTTCCCTTCTAATATCATTCCTAATTCTAGACAGGCTCACACATACCAAAGTTATATTCTACATAGCCCTTTAGGATACAGTACTTTCTTTTGGGCAACTTATCGACTTTATCATGAAGTAGTATCTCAGTGTGTGATGGAATCCATAAAAATTCTGGTTTTGGAGTATCTATACCTGACTTCTCATTTACTGGTTATGCTATAATAAATGTAACATGGTAAATTAGTGCTGGCATTTTTATCCTTAATCTAAAAGTATTTGAGACAGACAGTCATAGTGAGGAAAGTTGCCATTTTCCTAATGGGCCTGGATTGCACTTTTGACTTAGGTACCAGATGTCATATTAATTTCAGTGTTATATATAGTCAAAATATTTATTACAGTCTATCATATGTAAAATTTTTGGTATTTTTTTCATTGGAGAATTAGAGGTTTTATCATGTTTGTGAAAAAACAAGCAATTCTCAAATATTTAATAAAATTTAACATAGTCTCTTATTTGTAGGTGCTATTGATAGAAAAGGGTTCCAAGAGAATCTTCAGCATTGCCAAACAAGAATTTCTACTCAGTCACATTCTCAAAAGCTTCCTCTTAATTTGAGAGGGGGTGGGTATGATCCTCTACCACCACTGCCAGCACCCTCAGAAGATATTACTCAAGGAGCACAAGAGCTCTTAATGAATTTTACCTATGATACATTACAGAGTAACCATTTGGAAGTGCCTGAATCTTTCATCATGCACCGAGGGTTAGAATTTTATTGTTTGTTAAGCGTGGATAAAGCAGATTGTGGAAATAAGTGGATATGGTAAAGTGAGTTACTGAAAGGAAAGAATGGTAAGTGATCTTTTGGATTTAACATGGAGTGTAAGTAAGGCAATATCTGTGAAAGTATTCAGGGAACTGGTTAGCCAGCTTTGACTTATGGAGGTAGGAACTACTATACTGTACCTGCAGTTTGTAAGTCATCTAGAGATTTTTTTCACTCATTGGTAAAGTCTTTCAACATACTGGCCACATCCCACCATAGCAGGGTGACCTACAAAAAAACACAAATGTTTTTCGTTTTAAATTTAGCAATTTATGCAGGAGAAAGGGTTACTAGCTCCTTGCTCCTGGCATTTTAGTCACCTCCTATGACACACATGGTAGAATTCTTTTCCACTTCCCACTGGTAAGGTATTCATGGAACTCTAAGCACTGTAATAGTTGTCACTGCTTGTACCTTAAACCACATCCTCAGACTTCACAAAAATCATCCACCAAACCCTCTCTCATTACTTCACCAGAGCATAATGTTGTTCATAACATAGAAGGAACAAAAACCCAAAAATATCACACTCTCTGAGCTTTCTTAATACTGAAAGCTTTAAAAAATCAACATGGCAGGCTATCCTTGTAATTTATACAGGATAAAGGGAAGCACATCCCTATTTTTCATAATAAAAATATGCATAGCATTTACAACTATTTAATTGTAATTTATCTACATATGTAATGTGTCCTCTAAATAAAACCATCGTTTTTACACACATTACAGTTCACTGAGTTCTCCTTGATGTAAATGTCCACAAAAATATTTGTTTTTGTGGGTTAGGTCAAATTATTTTATATTTTTCTTCTTTCAACATACCAGCCGTATCCCACTGAGGTGGGGTGGCCCAAAAGGAAAAACGAAAGTCTCTCCTTTTAAATTTAATAATATATACAGGAGAAGGGGTTACTAGCCCCTTGCTCTATTGTATATTTATATACTGTTTAATTAACTGCCACTAATGAAATAACATACAGGTGATTTACATCTGGCAGTGCTGGACATGCCATAATTCTTAAGTGTGTTGATATCCATCCCAATGCCTGCTATTTAAGTTTGAGAATTGGCTAACAAATGAGGGTCTCTATCAAGCAGTCACATGACCTTATGCTTAAATAGGTGCTGAGGTGGCCTAATTTTTGAAGATTGAGACACTTATTTTTGGTGATTTGTTCACCAAAAATTAGGGATTGCATTCAAAGCTTTATTCTAGTTTAAGCAATAGTTTCTTTTATTTATATTTTTTTAATCATTACACATTTATTGTATTCATGAAACAAACTCACAACTCATACAGGTCGTTTCCCAGTGTTAAAGAGTGAAGATTTTTCCCATAAGAAAAAATATGTATGTATAGTACAGGTGTCTCTGACTTGTGCAATAGATGTGATCCAGGTACTTGGCACACAAGCAAAATTGCATGAAGCAAACCCAGTTTCACATGAATAATGTAAGGATATAAGGCCTTGCAGATTCCACATTTCCTGAGTTTCCTTAACCAAAAACAATATAAGCTTAAGACAGTAGGATTATACATGTTTATGAGAAGAAATGGTTAAATGAGAGTAGGACCTGCCTAGAGCATGGGTTAATAGGCATATTGCAGTGCTCCTTTATTTCTATGTAGGAGAACAATGTTTTGGCAATAGAGGTGTAGATGAGTGGGAGTGATTAGATGACAGTAGGACCTGTCTAGCATCAGCCAATAGTCCTGTTGGCCTGTGCTCTAAGCAGGCCTTACTCTCAGATAACCATTTCTACACACAACTCTTATTATGTGGTAGACAGCATATACCTTGTAGTTATCTATTCGTAGCTACAGAGCAGCACTTAGCTCATGTTCTTGTACCTATACTGTTTTTCTTTTTAAAGGTAATAATTTATACAGGAGAAGAGGTTACTAGCCTCTTGCTCCCGGCATTTTAGTCGCCTATTATGACATGCATATCTTACAGAGGAAAGATTCTTTTCCACTTCCCCATGGAGAGGATAAATTTTTATATACATATTTTAATTTTGTCCCCTATGCCTCTCCAGAAGGTTAAAACCACCTTGTGTTTCTTTGTCATTGCATTGCCATTATGGATGCCCAATGATTTTTTCTGAAGCTTTCTTTGTATCTTGCTGAAATTCATTTGTGTACACTTTATGTACACAGCCATTTTATCATTCGTTTATCATTTCCATGTATTATGTATTTCAACTAATATTTACTTTTATTTAATAACATTTTCCTTGTCACTACTTTATATTTTTTGTGGAATAATAAATTCATTCATGTTTTGTCTCTTTAACATATTCTTACTGAGAAGATATAAAAATTATGAAGAGATTCTCTTTTATTTACTCATAATGGTGTATATTTCATTTAGTTTCAGTAACCCTACTTGGTCAAGAGCTGGCCAAGAGCTGCAGAAATTGGCAGATGCCTTTGCTAAAACCGAAGAGCGCAGAAGAGTACAAGTGATGGCTAAATCCGTAAACTTGAGATCCATGAATATGGAAAACTTTTTTGAACTCTGTGCTGAACTCTTTTCAGTAAGTTTTATTCCTCATTCATTATTGTAGGAAACTACTTAATTTTCATTAAATATTCTGCATATAAAAATGATGCATGTATTATACAGTAATTAATGCTGTAAAACAAAGAGAAATACTATGCTTTCATATTTTCCTCCCCTGCCATAACCTTAAAGTAGCCTCCATATTTATTAATAACCTAGATAATGTGTGACTTTACAGTTAACCTGTAAACGGTCCAAATGTATACTATATACGTTTTTTCAACATTTGAAAGTATGTAAAAAAGTAGATCTATCTTTTTTTTTTTTTTTTTTTTTTTTTACGTTTGAAAATGTGTAAAAAAACTTTGATCTATTTTTTTTTTGTTATATTTGAAAATATGTAAAAAAAATGTAGATCTACTTTTGGAGCACTACACCTGTGAACGTAGATCTGCTCGGACCGTTTATGGGTTAATAGGCCAGTCAAATTCTGTATTTTTCTATACAGACAAGCCATAACATTAATCCTTTCACTGTCGAGACCCCTGCTGACAAACTTGCTCTCATTGTTGAAGAACTTTGCTGGAAAACTTATGGAATTATGCTCTTGCAAAGTTAGCGGTCTCGGCAGTATTTATGTATTGGCAATTTCACCCAATTTGAGCCCTGTTTTCGGCCAATTCCATTGTTCAAGTCGATCAAACTCATAGCTATTTCACTAGAACTTCATTTGTTCTATCAATTGAGCACATGAAGCTGCCTATTTACTGATTTCAACTACCCAATAAAGTAATCAGAAATTGGTAATTTGACCAATGTCATACACAATTCAAGTAAGGCTAATTTCAAAATAGGGTCCTAGCACTAAAATGACATATTCTAATGTTCATTAGTCACGTCTCCAGGTTCCTCTTATGTTACGCTTGCTTTCCATTTTGAATTTTTATTCACACAAAAAATAGAAGATTTACTGTTATGCAGACTACTGCATTATTGTAAAATTGGTATAAATAATATCAGCGCATTTGTGAAAGCATATTAGACCCACCAGTTGACGTGTATTGGATGCATGATGTAATTTGTTTTCTCTTGAACATCGGCAAAAATCAAACATTTCTGCTAATTTGAGCTCAATTTCAAGGTACTTTTAGTCCATAAACCATTAAAAATCATCTCTAACTCTGTAATATATCTTCCATTCTATCAAATGAAACCAAGAAAACGAGAATACAACCATAAATACCATACGAAAATACAGTGGTACCTTGGAATACGAACAGCTCAAAATTTGAACAGTTATGTAAGTGTATTTATGTAAGTGCTTTTGTAAGTGTATTTTTGGGGGTCTGAAATGGATTAACCCTTTCAGGGTCCAGAGGCCAAATTTCAAAGGGTGCACCAATGTCCAAGAATTTTCAAAAAATAATTTTATTTTTTCTTATGAATTGGTAGAGAATCTTTTTCTGAAGGTAAGAAAACAAAAAGTACGAAATTTGATGGAAAATTGATGAAATTATGCTCTCGTGAATTTTGATGTGTCAGTGATATTTATGTATCAGCGATTTTGCAGACTTTGACTCCCACTTTAGGCCAATTACATTAATCCAGTCGACCAAATTCTTAGCTATTTCACTAGTATTACTTCTATTCTATCGATTGAGCAAAAGAATTCGCCAAGTCAACTGTTTCAACTACAAAATAAAGTGATAGGAAATTGATAATTTGGTCAATTTAATGCAAAGTTCAAAATACTCCAATTTTAAAATAGGGTCCAGAATAAACAATGCAGGCATTCCTGTCACTAAACTAATATTTCCTCTGTTCATTAGTTACGTTTTTAGGCTTTACTTGTGAATTCCATTTTGATTTTTTATTCACATAATGAATTTTTATTCAAACCAAAAAATAAAAGATTTACTGTTATGCAATATTGTAATAATTGTATAAATAACATCAGCACATTTGTGAACGTATATAAGACCCACCAGCAGGTGTGTATTAGATGTGTGAGGTCATTTGTTTACTCTTGAACATCGGCAAAAATTTAACATTTCCACTGCTTTGAGCTCAGTTTCAAGCCATTTCCAGTACTAAAACCAATCAAAATCATCTCTATTTCTGTAATATGTCTTCCATTCTATCAAATGAGACCAAGAAATCGCAAATACAACTATAAAAAACATACGAAAAAGCACTGCAAAGTCGCTGTTTTAATCGAAAATTACGGTCTCATTTTTTTCTCTCATTATGCACTATGTGCTGCAGGATTTGTTTTATGTGGTGCACACATACCACATAGATGTATTCTCTCATATCAAGGCCAAAATTTACCGCTCACAGCTTATCAGAGTGAGCTGAGCTCATGACGTAGATCTACTGTTTGGACCCTGAATGTAAAGCCGTAGATCTACGGCACAGACCCTCAGGGGGTTAGTCTAATTTACATTATTCCTTATGGGAACAAATTTGTTCGGTATCAGCACTCGAGCAGCCTTCTGGAACGAAATAAGTTTGTATCCCGAGGTACCTCTGTACACCACAAAGTCAGTGTTTCAGACCAAAAACACGGTCAGAGTTTTTTTTTCCTCATTATGCAGTGCATGCTGCAAAATTTTTTTATGCTGCACACACTGACTACTCAGACCCAGTCTCTCATATGTAGGCCCACCAGCTTTCTCCTGCAAGATTGGAAGCCACTAGAATTTTGGTGTAATATTACAGGACCGACACTGGCTTGCAAGCCGTAATATTACAGGACTGACAGTGAAAGGGTAATGAATTTAAAGACTACTGGGTATTAGTATTGTATTTATTGCCATTCTATCTGTCAAGAATAGATGCTACACAGTAAATTTTTTAGCTCCACCCTTCAAATAACTGATTACAATACATCGGGTATGTGACCACCCTTAGGTTTCCATTTTTTTAAGTTTAATTTAATAAAATGTCACACAGCTTACCAATTTAGGGAAGCAGTGGCCAGATGAGTTAGCTGGAGCATGACCCCAGGGGATTGGTGTCAAGTAGCTGTGATTATAATTCCTATTTTTATCACCTAAGTTTAGGAAGAGAAACAGAGCTCTTCTCATGGGTCCCTTCTTTGGTGTTTAATTTATCATATAAATGTACTATACTTTAATCCTGTTTATTTTTTCAGTGGTTGTACTGTAGCACTTACCTCCTTTTGAATGCCATTCTAGTATTCTACCACTATTGGTGAAGGAAAAAAAACATTCTTGTATCTTTTCAACAGAATTCTTTTAGTTATAGTGCATTTCTAGTAACAAACAAATGTAGAAATTTTAGGATTTAATATTAGATGTAACAATTTCAGGATGGCATAACTCGAGAGCGAATTGTAGCATTGTTTACCTTTGTGGGTGATGTTGCTGTTCATCAGGTGCGACTACGGGGTGAGGAGTTTCTGCAGTTGTTAATGAAATGGTCACTGAAGTACTTAGTAGACAATATTTGCAGATGGGTGCAAGCAGCTGGGGGTTGGGTAAGTACTATACTTTGAAATTTTTCTATGAATTTGATATCCATTTTGCTCCATGAGAGTGTAGCCATGTGTAGATTCTTCCCAAGATATTTAAAAGACCTTTGCTTTTTCAAGACTTGAAGTAGCACCTGGAATATTATTAAAATAATAACATCAGCACCCCTCCTTCAGAGAACAGGCACTGTACTTCCCAGCTCCAGGACTCGAGTCCGGCTTGCCAGTTTCCCTGAATCCCTTCATAAATGTTACCCTGCTCACACTCCCACAGCAATTTGTCGTAAAAACCACTTGTCTCAACTTGCTTCTATCTAACACGCTCTCACAAGCCTGCTGGAAGTCTAAGCCCCTTGCACACAAAATCTCTTTTACCCCCTCCCTCCAACCTTTCCTAGGCTGACCCCTACCCTGCCTTCCTTCCACTACAGATTTATATGCTCTCCAAGTCATTCTATTTTGTTCCATCCTCTCTAAATGTCCAGACCACCTTAACAACCCCTCCTCAGCTCTCTGGATAATATTTTTTAATAACCCTGCACCTCCATCAAATTTCCAAACTACGGAATCTCAGCATAATATTCACACCGCACATTGCCCTCCAGCCTTCTCCTTGTTGCAACATTAACAACCCATGCTTCACACCCATATGAGTGTTGGTATAATTATACTCTCATACATTCCCCTCTTTCTCCACAGACTGCTCAATGCACCGCTCACCTTTTTCTCCTCATCGGTTCTCTGATTCACCTCATCTTTCATAAACCCATCTGCTGACAAGTCAACTCCCAAATATCTGAATACATTCACTTCTTCCATACTCCCTCCCTCCAATTTGATATCCAGTCTTTCATTTCCTATATTTTTTGTTATCCTCATCACCTTACTCTTTCCTATGTTCACTTTTAATTTCCTTCTTTTACATACCCTTCCGAACTCGGACACCAACCTCTGCAACTTCTCTTCAGAATCTCCCAAAAGCTCATTGTCATCAGCAAAAAGCAACTGTGACAACTCCCACTTTGTGTTAGATTCTTCATCTTTTAATCCCACACCTCTTGCCAACACCCAAGCATTCACTTCTCTTACAACCTCCTCTATGACTATATTGAACAACTATGGTGACATCACACATCCCTAGTTAGGGCCTACTTTTAGTGGGGAAATAATTTTCCTCTCTCTTCAGTAACCTACCTCCTATTCCATACATTTGCAACATCTGCCACATTGTGTCCCCTATCCACCCCATCATATCATATGCTGTTTCCAAATCCATAAATGCAACAAAAACCTCCTTAGCCTTATCTAAATTCTGTTCATCTGTAGTTTTACTGAAAAATTTGGTCTACACACCCCCTATCCTTCCTAAAAGCCCCTTTTTCATCTGCATCCTGCTCACCATCTTACTCTACCTACACTTTAACCAATAAATTTAACAGGCTTATCCCCTATAATTTTTTCACTCTCATTTTCTCCCTTTTCCTTTATACAAAGGACTATCATGCCCTCTGCCAATCCTGGACCTTTCCCCTTTTTCCTCCCCACCTGCTTTTAACATTTCTTGCTTGATCCCATCAATCCCATCAATCCCCTTTCATTCAACCCACTGCCTCACACACCTCTTCCACACTGACAACTGGCTCTTCTTCACTCCTACAAGATGTTATACCTCCCTGCCCAGTGCATGAAATCAAATCTTCTCTATCTTCATCAGCATTCAGCAGTTCCTCAAAATATTCCCTCCATCTTCCCAATATATCCAACTCTCCATCTAATAACTCTCTTCTCCTATATTTAACTGTCAAATTCATTCATTCCCTAGGCTTTCTCAACTTTTAATCTCACTCCAAAACTTTTTCTTATTCTCAACAAAATTTGTTGATAGCATTTCACCCATTCTCATTTGCTCTCCTTTTACATTCCTTCATCACTCTCTTAACCAATTGCTCTTCCCTCCCACACCCACTTTCCTGTAACCACAAACTTCTGCCGAACACTCTAACAGTACATTCTTAAATGTATCCTGTACCTTTCAATCTCATTGCCTGTACTCTCACTAGCCCATCTTTCTTCCAGTAGTCACATAAGAACATAAGAAAGGAGGAGCACTGCAACAGGCCTGTTGGCCCATACTAGGCAGGCCTTTCACAATCCATCCCAGAAACAGAATGTTTGCCCAACCCAATTTTCAACGCTACCCAAGCAATAAGCAAGCACGTGTGAGTGTGTTAGATAGGAGTAAATGGAGACGAATGATTTTTGGGACTTGATGAGCTGTTGGAGTGTGAGCAGGGTAATATTTAGTGAAGGGGATGGGGAGATGGAGGTATTGGGTAGATGGCGAGAATATTTTGAGGAACTTTTAAATGTTAAGGAAGAAACAGAGGCAGTAATTTCATGCACTGGTCAGGGAGGTATACCATCTTTTAGGAGTGAAGAAGAGCAGAATGTAAGTGTGGGGGAGGTACGTGAGGCATTACGTAAAATGAAAGGGGGTAAAGCAGCTGGAACTGATGGGATCATGACAGAAATGTTAAAAGCAGGGGGGGATATAGTGTTGGAGTGGTTGGGACTTTTGTTTAATAAATGTATGAAAGAGGGAAGGTACCTAGGGATTGGCAGAGAGCATGTATAGTCCCTTTATATAAAGGGAAAGGGACAAAAGAGACTGTAAAAATTATAGAGGAATAAGCTTACTGATATACCAGGAAAAGTGACGGTAAAGGGTTTTAATTGAAAGAATTAGAGGTAAGACAGAATGTAGGATTGCGGATGAGCAAGGAGGTTTAGAGTGGGTAGGGAATGTGTAGATCAGGTGTTTACATTAAAGCAATATGTGAACAGTATTTAGATAAAGATAGGGAAGTTTTTATTGCATTTATGGATTTAGAAAAGGCATATGATGAGTGATAGAGGAGCAATGTGGCAGATGTTGCAAGTATATGGAATAGGTGGTAAGTTATTAAATGCTGTAAAGAGTTTTTTATGAGGATAGTGAGGCTCAGGTTAGGGTGTGTAGAAGAGAGGGAGACTACTCCCGGTAAAAGTGGTCTTAGACAGGGATTGTAATGTCACCATGGTTGTTTAATATATTTATAGATGGGGTTGTAAAGGAGTAAATGCTAGGGTTTTTGGGAGAGGGTGGGATTAAATAGGGGGAATCAAATTCAAAATGGGAATTGACACAGTTATTTTTTGCTGATGATACTGTGCTTATGGGAGATTCTAAGAAAAATTGCAAAGTTTAGGGGGATGAGTTTGGAATGTGTGTAAAGGTAGAAAGTTGAAAGTGAACATAGAAAAGAGTAAGGTGATGAGGGTGTCAAATGTTTTAGATAAAAAAAAAATTGGATATCAAATTGGGGAGGAGGAGTATGGAAGAAGTGAATGTTTTCAGATACTTGGGAGTTGACGTGTCGGCGGATGGATTTATGAAGGATGGGGGTAATCATAGAATTGATGAGGGAAAAAAGGTGAGTGGTGCGTTGAGGTATATGTGGAGTCAAAAAACGTTATCTATGGAGGCAAAAAAGGGAATGTATGAAAGTATAGTAGTACCAACACTCTTTTTATGGGTGTGAAGCTTGGGTGGTAAATGCAGCAGCGAGGAGACGGTTGGAGGCAGCGGAGATGTCCTTTAAGGGCAATGTGTGGTGTAAATATTATGCAGAAAATTCGGAGTGTGGAAATTAGGAAGGTGTGGAGTTAATAAAAGTATTAGTCAAGGGGAGAAGAGGGGTTGTTGAGGTGGTTTTGGTCATTTAGAGAGAATGGATCACAGTAGAATGACATGGAAAAACATATAAATCTATAGGGGAAGGAAGGCGGGGGAGGGTCGTCCTCGAAAGGGTTGGAGAGAGGGGTAAAGGGGGTTTTGTGGGTAAGGGCTTGGACTTCCCCGCAAGCGTGCCTGAGCGTGTTAGATAGGAGTGAATGGAGAAAGAATGGTACTTGGGACCTGACGATCTGTTGGAGTGTGAGCAGGGTAATATTTAGTGAAGGGATTCAGGGAAACCGGTTATTTTCATATAGTCGGACTTGAGTCCTGGGAAAAGGGAAGTACAATGCTGCACTTTAAAGGAGGGTTTGGGATATTGGCAGTTTGGAGGGATATGTTGTGTATCTTTATATGTTTATGCTTCTAGACTGTTGTATTCTGAGCACCTCTGCAAAAACAGTGATAATGTGCGAGTGTGGTGAAAGTGTTGAATGATGATGAAAGTATTTTCTTTTTGGGGATTTTCTTTCTTTTTTGGGTCACCCTGCCTCGGTGGGAGACGGCCGACTTGTTGAAAAAAAAAAAAAAAAAAAAATTCAGAGAAACCAGTTACTATAGATTTAGCTGGACTTGAGTCCGGAAAATGGAAGTACAATGCCTGCATTTTTAAAGGAGGGGTTTGGGATATTGGCAGTTTGGAGGGATTTCTAAACTGCCGTATTATCTGAGCGCCTTCGCAAAGACAGTGATTATGTATGAGTGAGGTGAAAGTGTTGAATGATGATGAAAGTATTTTCTTTTTGGGTTTTTTCTTTCTTTTTGGTCACCCTGCCTGGGGGAGACCCCAAAATTATTGTTGTTGAAATTTATTTACTCTGTGCAAGTCCCACGTAATCCAAACCCTCTCACTCTTGTTTTTACCCAAACCAAATTTTTGAAACTCCCCAAGGTTTTTAGCTCAATCCCCCTACTAGGCAGACATTCCACTCATAAACCCCCTTTTTCCGAACCAGACTTTCCATATCCTTTAAAAATTTTTAAATTTTGTCTAATTTAAATTTCATTTTTGCGGGTTTCTCTCTTGGGAGGAGATCCTAAAGACCTTTTTTTATCCCCTTTGTTAATACCCATCTTCCACTTATCCCTTTCATCATGTCTTCGCTCATTCTTGTCTTAAAAGGGAATGAAATTTAAGGGTTTTTCAATCTTTCTTCATACAGAAGTTTCTAAGTTTGTATTAATTTTGTCTTTTGCTCTGAATGTTTTCTAACAAATTTAGTCCATTCGTAAAGGGAAACCCAAATTTGAGCTGCGAAATCTATGACGCCTTACTAATGATGTATAAAGCTGTAGTATAACTGCTACTTTTTTACTTACACTTCTTATTAAGTCCCGGAAATCTATTTGCCTTTTTACATGCTTAGGCACTGCTGTTTTGGGTTTTAAATTGTGCTTACCAAAACCCCCCCAAATCTTTTTTGCATTCTTTTTGGCAAAGTCCCGGTAATCTTTTTGCCTTATTACATACCTTAGGCACTGCTGTCGGGTTTAAGTTGCGCTTACCATAACCCCCAAGTCTTTTTTGATTCTTTTTTGGCTAAGTTTACATTATTTAGTTGATAAGTGTGGGGTTATGAAAATTCCAAGTTCAGAACTTGCTTTATCTACATAATTGCATCCCCAACTTTTTCTGCCCGGGAAATTGATTTTGCAAATTGTTCTAAGTTCCATGACATCTACTATGAATAAATTATCCTCCCCTTTTTTCGTGTCATCAGTGAATTTGTCATATCCAAATATTTCCCTTGTCAAGGGGTCTTTATATATATTATAAACAAAAACAACCTAAAACTGATCCCTGGAATCCCACTTGTTACAGACCCCCCAGATTTAACCCCATTTTTTTGCACACACTGCTTTCTGTTCTGACCATGACTCAATCCTGACAGCACTTTTCCCCCAGTACCAGACTGCCATTTCTTTTAAAAGTCCTGGGGTGAATCTATTAACACCTTACTAAAATCCAAATAAACAATATCGAAATTTTTATCATGATCAACAGCCTCAAAAAATTTTATGAAGAAAGTTAGTAAATTGTTGGGAAACGGCCCTGAAACTGCTGGTATCATTAATCAAAAATGCGTCAAATGGTTTCTTATAATTTTTTTTTTTTTTTTTTTTTTTTTTCCCCAACAAAACGGTCGTCTCCCCCGGGCAGGGTGACCCAAAAAAAAAAAAGAAAATCCCAAAAAAAAATACTTTCATATCATTCACACTTTCACCACACCACACATTACAGCTTTTTTCAGAGGTGCCCAGAATACAACGTTTTTAAACATATACATAGAATAACAACAATCCTCCAACTGCCAATATCCCAAACCACTCCTTTAAAAGTGCAGCATTGTACTTCCCCTTTTTAGGGGCCAAGTCTGACTAATGAAAATAACCGGGTTTCCCCATCCCTTCCTAAATTTACCCTGCTCACACTCCAACAGATCGCAGGTCCCAAGTATCATTCTCTCCATTCCTCCTATCTAACACGCTCAGCACCTTGCGGAAGTCCCCAAACCCCTCGCCCAAAAAACCCTTTTCCCCCTCTTTCCAACCCCTTTTGAGGACGACCCCCCCTCCCCTTTTTCCCCCCTAAATTTATTCTTTCCCTGTCATTTACTTTTATCCATCTCTCTAAATACCAAACCACCTCAACAACCCCTCTTCTGCCTCTGCTAAGCTTTTAAACTCCACACCTTTCCTAATTTCCAACTCCCGAAATTTTCTGATAATATTTACACCACACTGCCCTTAGACAGGACATCTCCACTTTCCCCCCAACCCTCCCTCGCTGCGCTTTTCCACCCAAGCTTCACATCCTATAAGAGTGTTTGGGATATAATTTCTACATTCCCTTTTTTGCCCCATAGATAAATTTTTTTTACTCCCCATATACCTCAACGCACCCCACCTTTTTTCCCTTTATCAATTTAGATTAACCCCTCCTTCTAAATCCCTTCCGCCACACGTCAACTCCCAAGTATCTGAAACATTTACTTCTTTCCCTACTCCTCCCCAATTTTATATCCAAATTTTTTCTTTATCTAAATCTTTGAACCCCTCACCTTACTTTTTCTATGTTCACTTTCAAATTTCTACCTTTACACCTCCAACCATCCACTAACCTTGCAATTTTTTAGTCTCCCATAAGCAATAATTAAATTTACTCTAGTTAATGCCCAAATTTAGGGGCAGGTTTATTGACGGTAATTTTACGGTAACAAATTGCCCCTGCTTTTTTAAAAAGGAATTACATTGGCTATTTCCCTAAATGCCTCCCCTTTGTTTTTAAACCTTCACCTCCCTTTTCTTGCAGTTCCATTCTCCTTGACCCTCGCCTTTTACTTCACTATAGCTCAGCTAAAAAATGATCTGATATTCCCGTGGCCCCCCTATAAAAATACATCCCGCAGTCTCCCATCAGTTTTTTTCTTACCAATAAAGGGATCAGGGTTTTTTATTCCCTTAAAATTTTTGGGCCTTTGCAAATTTTACACATCACACAAACTCGTAACTAATATTGTTTATTTTTATGAACACATTTTCTTCTTATGCCCCCTATTTTATAAAAAGAATATTTTGTATGGAAAATATTATGACCCTGTTCATATTGACAGGAGGCTTCCTGTGTTTAATTGCCAAAATCTCTGAGCCTCCACTTGAAAATAAGAAAAACTAATTTTTTACCACTTTTTTATTCCTGTTTTATACTTTTTCATTTGAGTTATCTTTATATTGCAATAAAGTGATTGAATTGCAGTGCTGGAAATGGGAAGTGCAATGCCTGCACTTTAAAGGAGGGGTTTGGGATATTGGCAGTTTGGAGGGATATGTTGTGTATCTTTATATGTATATGCTTCTAAACTGTTGTATTCTGAGCACCTCTGCAAAAACAGTGATTATGTGTGAGTGAGGTGAAAGTGTTGAATTATGATGAAAGTATTTTCTTCTTGGAGATTTTCTTTCTTTTTGGGTCACCCTGTTTCGATGGGAGATGGCCGTCCTGTTAAAAAAAAAAAATTGTCATAAGATTAATTAAATTCAAAACCAGCTGGCCCAGTGGCTTACACACTGGCCTGGAGTTTCATGACTCACTTGCCATGAGTTCAATCCCAGCCCATGGTATGGTATGTTTGCATTCATGTCATTATGATTTCATGAGTCAAAACCGTTGTTCTTAAACAGTTGTAGAAAATTATTTATGTATAAATTATCCACATATTTTACTCCTCTGCTAAATATGTGTATTTTTTTAATTTTTTGCAGGTGGTTGTGCTGTGCTGTGGAGCAAACATGTTATACAAGGGTACTATACTTGCATTCTGTATAGTTGGAACATTAGCTGCTGGTTTGTTCATATACAAAACCTTGAAAGATTGGTAACATTAGTGAAAAAGTAGGTAGCAATATTTATCTTTAAATCATCAATATCATTCTGATTCATATTTTTTAGTTATCAATTAACTGCAGTAATTTACATGGAAACAACCATAATTTATATAGCCATACCATTCTTTACTTTGTATCATTACAAAAATAAATAATTATTTAGCTTATGACTTTATGTTAATTTTTTTATTGCACTAATCAACCTGATTTATGTAGATAATTATGGAATTAGTTAGTAATAAAATTCCTAATCATTTTAAAGGGTGAAGATAATTTTTGTGAAGAGCATAGAGCTTTAAATAATAAAGTTCTTTTTGCAAAGACAGATTTCTTGCATAAAAGACAGAACCTTATGCAAAAATTAAAAAATTCTTCTGTGTACAGTACTCCTCCTCCTCTCTCTGTTTATAGCATATATTATTATTGAAGGTTTATTGGGAAAGCTGGAATTCTGTCCACCTCTTTATACTTTTTTTATAACCATTTTGTTTCTGAATAATAATTTGAGAATGTTGCTTAGCTCTGACTTTAATAGTAAAACACTTAATGGCCACTATAGTTACATTGCATCTGTTGTTAAAATTCATTTATATTTTTGATCAGGGTCTTCATTTCAGCATGTTTCCATGACAACGAACAAGCAGAATTTAACAAAACTAGTGAATATATTATAATACACTGTACTATATTAACAAGAGAAATATGTATATCATTGCTGGTAAAGTCCATTCATTCTATAGCTGTCTTAACAGAAGTGCATGGACATTCCAGTTCAAATGATCCTTTGAACTTTAACATCCATACCATCCTTTAGAGTGCAAACTACTTTATTTACCACCTCCAGGAGTTGTCTGGCTAATGATTTATAATGTGTACCATAACTTGCAGTGAAAATTAAAACTAGTTGGGTAACAGACTGAGTATAAGTATGTACACTGTTTTAAAATCAAGGTATGCAATATAAATAGAAATGATAATAGGGACAGTAAGAGCAGTTATTACAGTAATACAGAGCTTGTTACATGACTGGAGTTATTTAGTTAATTTATGTCAAAATGTATCAGAATGCACATTAGTCATGTCACTATTCCTCCAGGTGCTGTATAACCCCCTACAGATTTGGCTGTCCCATAAATGTAATAATAATTAATAATAATCTGTGGCATAACAGTATGATGTTAATTACAATACAAATATAAATCTATATATCAAAATTACTCTATAAAACATAAAATAATCTAAAGGCCTACATATAGGATGTATAACATTTTGGGAGAAAGTACTGTATATATAACTACAGGCACAAATTAATACTATACAGGTCTGCCATCACAAATCCGGCAATCACACATCCAGTTCCATCAGTTATTCTGCACTGATTTTGGCTAGCATAATTTCAAATTTCCAGGATCACCACACCAACCTGCTTGTACTGTTTAGTGACGCTACGAGCTGCATAAGTCATTCCAATTTCTTTTTCTTCTTTTCTTGTTATAACCTTTTTACTTTAGCCCTAGCCATGGTGCCAACGAATAAAAGAAATGCTTCTTGTTGTGTAAAGCACCAACACAGTACATTGTCCATTAAAGATAAGGTGGCTTTGAAGCCAGTGTCGGTTGCCATGAGCTCAGTCTCGTGATGCACAAGACTGAGCTTTTCCTCTCATAATTTAATCTAATATGACATAATATAAATAGCATAGGTAGTAGGTTGGTAGACAGCAACAATCCGGGGAGGTACATCATCCTGCAGGTGACTGTGAAACAGAAACCTGTAACTGTTTTGCATGATGGTAGGATTCCTGGTGTCTTTTTTCTGTCTCATAAACATGCTGGATAACAGGTATATCTTGCTACTTCTACTTACACTTATATCATACTACACAAGTATGCATGTCATATATATACATACACACATCTAGGTTTTTTCTTCTTTTTTTTAGTACTCTTGTTCTTTTTAATTTTTTTTCTTCCCCTATTGTCCATGGGGAAGTGGAAAAGAATCTTTCCTCCGTAAACCATGCGTGTCGTATGAGGCGACTGAAATGCTGGGAGCAATGGGCTAGTAACCCCTTCTCCTGTACACACTTACTAAAAATGAGAAGAAAACTTTATAAAACTGGGATGCTTGAATGTGCATGGATGTAGTGCAGAGGATAAGAAACAGATGATTGCTTATGTTAAGAATGAAAAGAAGTTAGATGTCCTGGCCCTAAGCAAAACAAAGCTGAAGGGGGTAGGGGAGTTTCAGTGGGGAGAAATTAATGGGATGAAGTCAAGATTATCTGAGAGAGTTAGAGCTAAGGAAGGGGTAGGAATAATGTTGATGGATCAGTTATGGAAGGAGAAGAGGGAATATAAATGTTTAAATTCAAGAATTATGTGGATTAAAATAAGGGTCGGGTGTGAAAAGTGGGTCATAATAAGTGTGTATGCACCAGGAGAAGAGAGGAGTATAGAGGAGAGAGAGAGATTTTGGGAGATGTTAAGCGAATGTATAGGAACCTTCGAACCAAGTGAGAGAGTAATTGTGGTAGGGGACCTAAATGCTAAAGTAGGAGAAACATTTAGAGAGGGTGTGGTAGATAAGTTTGGAGTGCCAGGTGTAAATGATAATGGGGACCCTTTGATTGAACTTTGTATAGAAAGAGGTTTAGTTATAGGTGATACGTATTTCAAGAAAAAGAGGATAAATAAGTATACAAGATATGATGTAGGGCAAAATGACAGTAGTTTTGGTCTATATTTGGTGATAAAAGACGGGTTGAGTAGACTTCAGGATGTACATGTTTATAGAGGGGCCACAGATATATCAGATCACTTTTTAGTTGTAGCTACTGTGAGAGTAAAAGGAAGATTGGATACAAGGAAAATAGAAGCAGCAAGTAAGAGAGAGGTGAAGGTGTAAAAATAAAAGGGAGGCAGTTAGGGTAAGATATAAACAACTATTGGAGGATAGATGGGCTAGTGAGAGTATAGGCAATAGGGTCGAAGATGTATGGGGTAGGGTTTTAAAAATGTAGTGTTTTGTGTGTTCAGCAGAAGTTTGTGGTTACAGGAAAGTGGGTGCGGAGGGAAGAAGAGCGATTGTGGGAAAGATGAGTTAATGTTGCAGTTTCATAACTGTAGTGTAAAGCACCCCTCTGGCAAGACAGTGATAGAGTGAAAAGATGAGAAAGTTTTTCTTTTTTTGGGGCCCTCCTGCCTTGGTGGGAATCGGCCGATGTATTAATAAAAAACAAAAAAACATATTAAATACTCCAGAATGAATAATATTTGGCATAATACCGAGCAGTTTGATGGAGGTATGAAGAGGACATGGGATGCAAGTACCATTCTCCTATCCCTGTCTTGGGGGCTTATATTAGAGAAAATGGAGTATAGCACATGGCTGTGATATAGTACACTCGTACTGCACCATAAAACTGAAACAAAAAAGCTATTTTCTCTACACAGATTATCACACATAGCAGCATATGTAAAGAGAACCTTGGATAACTCAAAAAAGTCAGATAAAGTGGCATATTTCTAGTACCTGGCTTGGGCTAGCCATATATGAGTTTTGGTAAATGTTTGATTCCCAGCCAGGGTAGAAACATTGGGCATGTTTCTTTACACCCGTTGTCTATGTTCACCCATCAGTAAATGGGTACTTGGGTGTTAGTGGACTGGTGTAGGTCTTATCCTGGGACACTGACCTAATTTGCCTGAAATGCTTAGTATAACAAGGGGCTTTCTATATAGTAATACGTCACTGATGTCAGCTAGGCCTGTATACCATGTACACGTACTTGTAGTAAATTTTTCTTCTTTCACTGCACTAGCCGTATCCCACTAAAGCAGGGTGGCCCAAAAAGAAAAATGAGTTTCTCTTTCTAAATTTAGTAATTTATACAGGAGAAGGGGCTACTAGCCCCTTCCTCCCGGCATTTTAGTTGCCTCTTACAACACGCAATGCATGTTGTAAGAGGAAGAATTCTGTTCCACTTCCCCATGGAGATAAGAGGAAATAAACAAGAACAAGAACTAGAAAGAAAATAGAAGAAAACCCAGAGGGGTGTGTATATATATGCTTGTACATGTATGTGTAGTGTGACCTAAGTGTAAGTAGAAGTAGCAAGACGTACCTGAAATCTTGCATGTTTATGAGACAGAAAAAAGGACACCAGCAATCCTACCATCATGTAAAACAATTACAGGCTTTTGTTTTTTCAACTCACTTGGCAGACGGTAGTACCTTCCTGGGCGTTGCTGTCCTACCAACCAACCTTACTACCAGAATTTTTATTATTATTGTTATTATTATTATTATTATTCCCTTTCTTTCAACAAACCGGGCCCTATCCACCGAGGCGGGGGGGCCCAAAAGGAAAAACGAAAAATTTCTCCTTTACATTTTTAGTAATAATACAGGAGAAGAGGTTACTAGCCCCTTGCTCCGGCATTTTTTAGGTCGCCTCTTACCCAACACGCAGGCTTACGGAGGAAGAATTTTTGTTTCCCCTTCCCCATGGAGGGTAAGAGGAAATAAACAAGAATAAGAACTAAGAAAGAAAATAGAAGAAAACCCAGAGGGGTGTGTATATATGTGCTTGTACATGTATGTGTAGTGTGACCTATTAGAATGTTCGCATCGCTATTGGGCCGTGCGGACGTGCTGCGCAGTAGCTCCTGATTGAGTTGGCATTTGCGCAGTGTTGACGTGTACTTGGCTCTGTGAAGACCTGTTTGCGCGCTCTCTAGAATTGAAGCAAGATGCCCTCCATCGAGCAACTTTACCAACAGCTTAAGGAAGAATTGAGGTTGGCGAATTTGGAAATTCGGCGATTGACCGAGGAGAACAAGAAGATTCGTAGTAGTCCTCCTGTTTTGAGTCCTCAGGTCAAGAAGGGAAACTGGTCAGTGGCTGGACAGCAGGGAAAGAAGTTGACGATCAAGAAGACGAATGGAAAGGTAGAAACGATGAAGAAGAAAGAGACTGCCGTGGAAACTGTTGTGGAAATATCCA